TTTTGGGTCTATCTGATTAAATAGACATTCACTTCTATATAAAAAAAAAATATACAATCCTTGAAGTTAGAATTTTGTTTGAATATTTGATTTGATGATACATAAAACATTTTAGGATAAAATTTGTCTTTTATATGTTTATTTATTTTTTATAGGTTTTTGATCTTAAAACTTTGTTATGGTCTAATCTAAAGCTGAATATTGAACCAAAAATGAAGCAGAAAATTTTCCAGTACATCTGGTCACAACATGGTAAGACAGTAAGACAAAATTTTTATTCCATTGCTATTTTGGGTCTATCTGATTAAATAGACATTCACTTCTATATAAAAAAAAAAATATACAATTTTTGAAAATGTCCATCGCTTACAATCGATTAGAACTGTTCATATCATTATCTCATTTTACAACATTAGTTCTATGCGACACATCAATGGTGTACCACACATTAAAGTAGGTGGTCTTTTTTTATTTATATTTTTTAAATATACTTCTTTTCCCCTCTATAAGTTCCTTCTAATAAAATTTTATGTTTTCTCCAAGTGACAGGTGTTTAAGACAATTTCGGTCTCATATTCAAGTTTGGAAAGTCTTGAATCTCTTCTTTTATAAGGTTTCACTTTAATTTTTCCTTTTATTTCTTGAGATTGCAAAGCACTGGTCGGTGTGCATTGTTTATTATTTCTTTTAAATTTAATTTTTTGGTATTATAGAGCACTAGCTGGTGTGCATTGTTTGTTATTTAATTTTGAATTCTATTTTTTTGGATTGCATAGCATTGACTAGTGTGCTTCATTTAGTGTTTGGTAATTTTTATTTTTATTTTTTATTGTAAAGTATTGATATATGTACAATAGCTTTGGTTGGTATTATTTGATAACGAATGAATAATGAAAACGGAATATTTTTTATTAAACAACAAATATATATACTTGTGCCTAGGGATTATTATTTTTAATTGAGTTCTGTAGAGTGTGTGATATCAGGAAAATTGTTGGAAGTGTTTTAAAAATAATATATATACCCATGCCTAGGGGTTGTTATTTCTCAATGTCTTAGTTTTTGGTATGTTTTTCGATAAATTACATTTGTATTCAACTATATTTTGATCTCAATAATTATTTACATCGTGCCTTTAGGGGCGAGCATACCTTTTATTCTTCCCTTTTTCCCCTTCTCCTCTCATTATGAAAATCATTTAACATTAAAGTAAATGATGGGAAGTGAGCATTGTTTTGAGGATTGCAAAAAGTCTTGAATTTATGAAAACTTTGACATATAATTAAAATTGCAAAATTAATACTTTTTCATAACTTGCTATTTCATGCAATGAATTCTTTTTTCTTATTTTTGTTTGTTTGTTTGTGTAGTATTAGATAATTTGATAAGCATGAAGGGATTGAATTAGCTTGAAATCAAATAAAATTTCATGATTTCTAGGAAAGCCCTGAAGATCTAAAGAGGTATTGTGAAATTCATCTGCTGAAGACCTTGACTAGATTAAGTTGCTTTTGTTTATTAAACTCTATCTTTCATTATGTATGTGTTTGGGTTTTTCTTTCTTTTTTTGGGTTTGTGTTCTGTTTTTTGTGTTCTATTTCTTTTTTATTTTCCTTTTTTGTGTATTTTTTTTTCCCTGTGCATTGTTGCCAATAAAATCTCACATTGTGTTGTTCAAAATACCACTTGAAATTTTGTTGAATGCTTCTAGAAGAATTTTTCTACAAATTAGTTTGGCCCCTCTTCCATCTTCTCATTTCTCTTTAAACATGAGAATTTCATTCAGGGTATTTTGCCTATTTTGATACAGTCAAGCTCTTTTATTTTGTATCTTTGTGCATACACCATGTTCTATAAAATACCTCAATTAAAATAGTTTATTTTCTTTTGATTTTTTTTTTTATTATCAAAGAAAAAGATTTATTGATGATAAAAGCAAAATACATGCAAAAATACATCAACAAATTGGGAAAGTGTACAAAGATTGGTGAGAAACCAATCTAGAGCAATCAAAAGATGAAAAGTAGAACAAAACAGAACAACTTCAGAGCATACAGCAGTCCATAAGCAGCCACTAGCATCAGCCCACTACTAGGAATATCACTACAGCAGCAACCAGCAGCATGAACACTTCCAATCAACATATCCCTCCATCAAACCAGCAGTATGAACACTACAGCAGTAACAACCTCTCTTCACCAACACCAAACCAAACCGGTGAGATACCCACAGCTGCAAATACATCTCTGCACAATATAGTAGCAAGTCACTAACCTTCAAGAAAACACACCAGAGACCCTGCTGCCATGAACTCCACCCAGGTTACATCAAGAAAGGAAAAAGGAATACACCAGAGGCCCTGTTGCCATGAACTCCTAAGTTTCTGTTAATACTTTTCCACCACTTCAAAACTTCTTCAACTAAGTCTTCAGATCAATCACCTAACCCTGAATTGGTCACAGGAAAGATGCCAGCACCCCTAGATCCAAAGTTAATACCTTTGTTATATTAAGCAGATGGTTCCAAGAATGATGGAAACAGGGGCATCTTTGCAACTTCAGCCTTAATACACTTGCCTACTGCCATTACACAGACAAAATCTAATCTGGCTCAGGTTGAAGATGAAATCATTGGCAGAGAACTGATGATCCTTGAACAAATCTTTGAACCAAAGAGCAATCTTAACTTTTATTAGTTCACAGACTCCTTCTTCACTTAGAGCAACATCCTTAAAAGTGTAATCATTTCTATGTTTCCACAATGCCCATAACACAGTAATAGGTAAAGCTTTCCATATCAACCTTTCCTTTTTGTTGAGTCTTACCCCATCTCACTAGTGTAGAAGTGACTCCACGGAGCTTGGTAGTACACCTTGCACCTTCCACCACTTTAAGATTTATGTCCAAACTCTCCATGCCACCGGGCAATGCAATAACACATGGTTAAACGACTCTTCCTCAAATTTGCAGAAAATGCATAGGGCCGAAACGTTATCAGCAAGAACACCAATACGTATAAGGAAATCTGTAGTCTTCAATCTATCCTTCCAAGCAAGCCAACCAAAGAATTGAACTCTACAGGGAATGTACTTCACCCACACCAACGTACTTGTTGGACATTTATTACCATAACCAGCTGCCAAATTTTTGTACACAAAGGAGACTGAAAAACTACCTGATTTTGAGGCTACCCATACCAGTACATCCACTGCATCTAACCTTGTTGTAAGGGCTACCTCTAACAGAGTTAGCAATCTAGAAACCTCCACCATTTCCCAATCATAAAACTCCCTTATGAACTGGAACACCCACTGTCTTGCATTCACCTTCGTTACCAATATTGAATTTAAAGATTCTTCCTTATTAATAGACAGTCTATGAAGGAGTGGGAATTCCTCCTTAAGACACAAATTTGCACACCATTTGTCACGCCAGAACTTCACTCTATGACCATTACCAACTTTTATCTTACAGTTTTCCAGGAAAAACCTCACCAAACTACTATTATGATGACTGCCATCTACAATGTCCTTCCAAAATTTTGAGCTACTACTACTGGAGTTGATTGTAGGCATCCAATTACCCTCATCAACCTTATATTTACTGCATATAACTTTTCTCTACAATGCATCAGACTCAGAACCAAACCTCCACCACCATTTTAATAAAAGACAATTATTAACCTCCAACACTCTCCTAACCCCCAAACCCCTTCGTTCCACTGGGTTTGATGCTTCCTTCCAATTAACTAGATGTAATTTCTTTCTTAACTCAAATCCACCCCAAAAGAATGCTGCCTGAATTTTTTCAAACTCTCTTCCTACCCCTTTTAGCATCTTATACAAAGACAAATAATACAAAGGTAAGGAAGACATTACAGATTTTATTAAGGTAAGCCTTCCAGCAAATGAGAGCAATCTCCTCCTCCAACCTGCTAATTTGCTTCTAGTTTTATCCAAAACAGGTCTCTAAGTTGATTTCCTACTCAGATTAGCCCCCAGAGGTAACCCAAGGTACTGAAATGGCAAGCTTTTCACCTTGCAATTGAGCATTGAGGCATATTCATTCATTAAATCATCTTGCACTCCCACCCCACATACTACACTTTTATGATAATTGATCTTCAATCTTGAAAGAACTTCAAAACACCTCAATATCCTTTTCAAGTTTCTTATTTCAACAAAATTAGCTTCACAAAGTAATATTGAATCATCTGCAAATTGTAAGTGAGTAAGACTCACATTACCTGAACCAATCCTTACCCCTTTTATTATTTCCAATTCAAGAGCTCTAGACAACAATAAACTTAGCCCCTCTACTGTTATATTGAACGGAAAAGGAGACAACGGGTCCCATTGTCTGAGACCTCTTTGGTTAAACCAGCTACTTATATAATTCAACTGTTTTATTGGTCAAATAGTGAGTGAATCTATCATAACGAGCCAAGTAAATGATTAAATAACCTTTGATATAGAGAATTTGATTAACAATGTGTGAATGCTCTAAGTATAATGTCTATGTTATGATAGAATCAAATAAGATATTAAATTATGATAGATTCAATCACTATTTGGGGGGAAAATGTAGATTCACTCACAATACTTAGCCTATTATGATATGTTCTTTCAAATTGTGAATGATACCTCTTTTTTTTTTTTTTTTTTTGGAACTAGAATGATTCCTTCCTTGGATATTTGGTTTTTCATACTTATTATGAGAATAACCAAGAAATTGATATATATATTTATAGATATTTTTTTTCTTTCCTTTCAATGTTTTTTGGAATGAAGAGAAACATACATCTGATATCCATTTGCCAATTTTTTTTCTTTTGAATGAAAAAAAAAATCTCTTCTCTGTTTATGTACTTGCTCTTCTCATCTTAATTGTAACCAATTATCTAGAACATTACTATGTAAAATTGATAATGTTCTTAGTTTTAAAAATTAGAAAAAACTGATAACATTCTCAGTTTTTCTAAATATGACTTATCAGTTGAAAAAAACTTAAATAAGATTTGAACTACCATAACATTTATAAATAAGAGTTTTTAATAATTAACTCTATATTATATGAAGCATATTGTACAAGATCTTGAACAATTATCACAATGGCAGCCTAAAATTAAGCCTCCTAAGCCAGATAGAATGAAGCACCATATCTAATAAATCAAAAGGTTTACTCGGCCGATTAATGATAAAATGTTGTTGCACCTCCATAACCATCTTCTGCTTCATCAAATACTCTTCCATGGAAATTCCCTGCAAAATTTTCTTCATTTCCAGTATCCTTGACACTGGAACATGAACCGAAAACTTGTTCCAATCAAGAACATCACTAAAAGGCAACACATAGCCATCCGAGATGATCACCGGTACACACCCTGTGTAAATGGACTCAACAATTCTAGGGCTTGCCACTTCATTCCCACTAGGGCACAAGCAAAACTTGGATTGACCCATTAGGTCAAAGTAGTTTAGGGTTTCAGGGAGGTAACTGTGGACTTGAATATCAGTGTCTTGGTCTTTCCAGTATTTTAGTAGGACTTTTCGTACGTACCCGTGTTCGCCACCAGCGAAGAAGGCGAGGATCGGACGGTGCTCTCGGGGTTGGCCAAGACGGGGCGGCCCTAGTACTCCGTAGTCGATTTTGATTTCAGGTAGAGAAACGTCTCTGATGGGTTGGAAACCTTCGGATGCGTTGGCATTGCAGAGGACTCGGATGAAGTTTTTGTATAGGGTAGGGTTGGCTGTTGAAACATCTGGTGCCTGAAATTGTTGAAATGGAGAGAAGTTGAATGTTAAAATGATATGTAGTGTTTGAGCAACAAAAGAAACACTATCTAAAAAGACAAGGGGAACTTCCATAAGTACATCATCATTTTTATCAGTTTACACCATCTTTTACGTCTAAGATATCAATATATTAAAGGGTAAATTACATAATTGTCTCTGCATTTTGTTCATTGTTCCATTTTCGAATATACATTTTTAATTAACTTAATTTTGACATTTAATTTAAGATTTTGTGTCAATTTGATTTAATTGATAAAATCGTTAGTATTTTTGATAGAAAATTATTACTAAATTAATTGAGATTAGCTCACTAAGTTGAGCAAATTTATAATTTTGCTCTTAAAAACATTATACATGTGCCACTTATGTTGTGTACATATTTTTTATTAAAAAAATACTAACAATTATGGTCAATTAGACTAAATTGAGATAAAATCATAAATTCTGAATCAAAATCAAAATCGAATCAATTAAAATCAGAATGTTTAAAATGACACAATAACCAAAATATAAAAACTACTGACATAATTTATCCATTATTAAATAGAATTTTTGACCATGGACCTAGGAATATGCTCCTCTCTAGGTCTCAGGTTCGAATCCTACCCCAGCTGAATACTAGCGGGCTACTACGTCTTTGCCTGATCAATCGATTCAGGATCCTAAGATTAGTCGATGTGCGTCACTACGAAGAAGTGCTAGCCCAAATACTCGGCTATAAAAAAAAATATAATTTTTGTTCAGTAATGGACGTTTAAATAATTTATTTTTATTCAATATTATTGATAAATTATCTCCAACAAACCATCCACTTTTGCCAATAATTTTTTAAAAAAATAAATAAATAAACTTGTAACCCAGAAAAGAAAGAAAGGGAAGTTACTACTCCGTAGTATTTTCGGTTTCGTTTGACAGGAACTATTTTGATTAAATTAGTTAATAAAAATAAAATAGACTAATTTAGTTAACAAAACAAAATTTTATATTCAAATCATAATCATTTTATTTTTTCTCTTACAATCATCAAATCTACAAAAAATAAAAAATAAAAATTATCAAAATTTATCTCAAACACAACTTTTTTAACCGAGTTGAAATAGTCAAAAAGTCAGACTAAATTAGCTTATTCTAAACAAGAGATTATTAAAGATTCATAAATAATAATAAAAAAAAACCTTATCAAAATTTATCTCTAACACAATTTTTTTAATCGAGTTAAAATAGTCAAAAAGTCAGACTAAATTAGCTCATTCTAAACGAGAGATTATTAAAGATTCATAAATAATAATAAAAAAACCTTTAAGTATTAATATTTATAAAATTTATCACTTATCTATAATTATTTTTAAAATTTTCCACTGAATTTAAATTTTTTCAAGAAAGAAAGAAAGAAAAAATGAGTGAAGAAGTAAAAACATTACCCAGTCATGGCAGGCAACAAAGAAATGATCGGCACCATTGCTTCGGTTCCAGTAAGGGTACCTGTGGGAAACGATGCCAACGTAGTCTTTCACAACGTTCTGCAGCCTAACCCTTGAGAAATTTGTGTAGGGTCTGTACACGTATTTCACTATATTAAGTACGCTCACCGGTATGAAGTATGCCACGGCGGCGTCCTCGTTGGCCGCCTGAAACCGGCTCTTCCCGCTGCCCATCTCCGCCATGAACTGTCCCTCTATCGAGTAGATGTCGGCCATTGGACCGTCGTGGAAGAGTGGTGGCTCTCCTTCTTTGTACGTCCACACTTTGAATCTCTTCTCCATCTCAATGTGGCTTCTGATGAAATAACATTGGAAAGTAGGGTTCATATGCAAATTAGTAACAATCACTGTGTTCAATTGCAAAGGTGGGCAATTATCCTGAATTGAAAAAAATACATGAATTGTATAATTTTGAAAAGTAAATGATTATTATTGTTCAATCAATCTGATTTTTTTATATGAATACAATGCTTTCAGGGCTCTCATGCTTAAATTGTCAAAAAGAATTCAAGATTATATCAAATTGGACCAACGAGCTGCTTACCCAATAGAATACTTACCGGCATGTATATTTCCTAATTTGATTTGTTGTACCTTACTCCTTAAGATAAAATATATTTATAGTACTTAAAATATGTATTTTGTGTTGCTTTGGTTATTTAAATTTAAATTTTATCAATTTCATCTCCTAAAATTTTTTATTTGAGTCAAATTAATTCAATTCTAAATCATAGTTTAAATCGTTAATGGAATAATTATAAATTTCAATTATAGTCTCTAAAATATACGTTTTATATCATTTTGGTATCCAAAGTTTTAATTTTGTTAATTTCATCCCTTAGTATAGTAAGTTACAAATTTTAAAAACTAGACTCATTACCAAATATCAACGACGTCTACTATTGCTCCTTATCTCAATATAAAATTATAAATCTCCCTCTTTTCACCAATGACATTACTCTTGGGCCATGTTTGTTTGGGTGGACATGAGCTTGGGATTGGACTAATAGTCCAATAAAATTATTAATCCGATGTTTGGTCAAACAATTGAAGTACGGACTAATTATTTTAAATTTGACTATTAGTTAAGATAGGATACATAATCCAACGAATTCGTAGTCCTAGGACTACTAGTCATGGGAATGCTAATCCAGTCCGCCCAAACAAATATGGCCTTGGGGGTGCCAATGACATCACTACTAAAACACTATTTAACCATGGCCTATGACCACTACATAACTCATCTTGTTATCAATTGATCTTAAGAATCATAGGAAAATTACAAATCAGTAGGACATTGAAAGAATATTTACATTTAAGTGCTTATTGTGTCTAGTGTAACTCCTTTATATATGTCAAAGTTGTACAAAAAAAATTTCTATTTTTTCACTGTACCACTTATTTACAATTTTGTCAAGAATTATCATATCACTTTGTGCTCTTTTAGGAAGCTGGTAAAAAGTCAACTTCCAACTTTTTATTAATTTTGGGTCACATCACTTCTCACCTAACTTATTCATAAAAAGACAAAATAAATTAAAAAAACTAAAAAATCAATTTTTTTTACCAACTTTCCCAAACACCTTTCGTCCATGGCTACCCTTAATAATCAACCATCAACCCCATCACACAATCAATCAAGACCGTCCAATTAATGGGGTACCTCTCCTTGTATTGATTGACATTTTAAGTCCATGTCATTCATAATTTATTCAGTGTGATGCCCGATGATCAGACTGCGTAGGTTGGACCCCCTCAAGAACTGAGTTAATTAATGAAGGGCTCAAAATGCATCAATGCATTAAAAAAACAACAACCGCGTTGGGACCCCAGTGGGGTGACCCGAGCTCCACATGGCTTTCTGTGAGAGCAAAATTTAAAAAAAAAGAAAAAAAAAATTCTGAACCAATCAAAAAACAATGGGGATAGTGGGAGTCACTAGAATGGCAACGGGACGGGACGGGCCCGGGGATCACGCTTCCCGTCCCCGATCCCCGATGGTGAAAATTCCCCCGGCCCCGATCCCTGACGGGGAGCCTATCACCGTCCCCGCCTCCGCCCCCTAATGGGAATCGGGTTTCCCTGACCCCGAATATCCCCGACAAAAAAAAAAGAAGAACAAAACAGCAGCTCATCATCAACAACAACAACTAAAATTTACAAAATCATCATCAATGATCATCATCATCAACATCAACAATAACAAAATATGTATATATATGTATATATATTACCTCGGATCAGAAGATGTGAGAGGCCAGTGTTACAGTGTATATATATATATAGTAAAGATCTGAATATGTACATCAATGATGTTGATATAGTTGAGAACCAGTGTATATATACAGTTAAGAACCAGTGGTGCGAAGAAATTTTCATCGCGGCTCGGATTTAGAAGAGGCTCTCCGTTGCCGATCTGTTAGTATCTCTAGACTTCTTCACAGAGAGTAGAGGGAGAAGAACAAGAGAGAGAGAAAAAGAGAGAGAGAGAGAGAGAGAGAGAGAGGGGGAGAGTTGAGAAGACATAGAGAAAGAATGAGAACTTTAGTGTAGTATAGTAAGTTACAAATTTTAAAAACTAGACTCATTACCAAATATCAACGACGTCTACTATTGCTCCTTATCTCAATATAAAATTATAAATCTCCCTCTTTTCACCAATGACATTACTCTTGGGCCATGTTTGTTTGGGTGGACATGAGCTTGGGATTGGACTAATAGTCCAATAAAATTATTAATCCGATGTTTGGTCAAACAATTGAAGTACGGACTAATTATTTTAAATTTGACTATTAGTTAAGATAGGATACATAATCCAACGAATTCGTAGTCCTAGGACTACTAGTCATGGGAATGCTAATCCAGTCCGCCCAAACAAATATGGCCTTGGGGGTGCCAATGACATCACTACTAAAACACTATTTAACCATGGCCTATGACCACTACATAACTCATCTTGTTATCAATTGATCTTAAGAATCATAGGAAAATTACAAATCAGTAGGACATTGAAAGAATATTTACATTTAAGTGCTTATTGTGTCTAGTGTAACTCCTTTATATATGTCAAAATTGTACAAAAAAAATTTCTATTTTTTCACTGTACCACTTATTTACAGTTTTGTCAAGAATTATCATATCACTTTGTGCTCTTTTGGGAAGCTGATAAAAAGCCAGCTTCCAACTTTTTACTAATTTTGAGTCACATCACCTCTCACATAACTTACTCATAAAAAAACAAAATAAATTAAAAAAACTAAAAAATCAATTTTTTTACTAACTTTTCAAAACACCTTTCGTCCATGGCTACCCTTAATAATCAACCATCAACCCCATCACACAATCAATCAAGACTGTCCAATTAATGGGGTACCTCTCCTTGTATTGATTGACATTTTAAGTCCATGTCATTCATAATTTATTCAGTGGATGATCAGACTACGTAGGTTGGAACCCCTCAAGAGCTGGGTTAATTAATGAAGGGCTCAAAATGCATCAATGCATTAAAAAAACAACAACCGTGCTGGGACCCCAGTGGGGGTGACCCCAGCTCCACATGGCCTTCTGTGAGAGCAAAACTTAAAAAAAAAAAAAAAAAATTCTGAACCAATCAAAAAACAATGGGGATAGTGGGAGTCACTAGGAATGGCAACGGGACGGGGCGGGGCCAGGGATCACGCTCCCCGTCCCCAATCCCTGATGGTGAAAATTTCCCCGGCCCCGATCCCCGACGGGGAACCTATCACCGTCCCCGCCTTCGCCCCCTAATGGGGATCGGGTTTTCCTGACCCCGAATATGCCCGACCAAAAAAAAAAAAAAGAACAAAACAGCAGCTCATCATCAACAACAGCAACAAGAATCTACAAAATCATCATTCGAGCGCTTGGTGCGAGTGGGAGTTTTGAGGGGTGTATTCCGTTCAAACCTTGGTGGTCGGTGTTTGTGTTCGGTTAAGAGGAGAATGGCGCCGGGTCTACAAAGAGGGGATTGCTCAGCGTTGGTGATGAGAATCAATTGAGGGAGTTGTTTGGGAGAGGGAAACCGTGGGAGAAGGTTAAGTTGGAAAACTGGGTTTTCAGGGGTAAAGCATGGTGACAGCACCAGTAGCTTCATTCCCGGAGGCAGAGACAGTGCTTGTTGAAGAAGACCCTAAGGAGGAGGCGGCAGCAGCAATAGAGGAGGCACCTGTAGCAGTCCCGGCCGAGGTTGAAGCCACAGGTGGTTCTCGGCAGCAATGAAGCCTGAGTGTCCGGCTTTGGTGCAGGGTGTTTGGGTCAGGCGTGCAGGGTGTATGGCGTGCAGGGTGCTTGGGTCCGGCGTGGGGCTCAAGAGTTTGTGTATCAGTGTTCGACATTGGGCGTGCAGGGTGGTTGGGCGTGCAGTGTTTCAGGCGTGGAGGGTGGTTGTGTTTCAGTGTTGTGTGGGGCTCAAGAGTTTGTAGTGTTGTTTTTATTTGTTTTTTAAAATATAAAATCGTGAGGCTAAGAGGTTGGTTGTAAAGACGTGAGTAGCAGTAGTAGGAGAGTGAATTTTTACTCTTCGAATCTCTCTCATAGCGTTTTTTTTCCTTGTACCTTTAAATTTCATGTTTTTAATGAAATTTTTTTCTTTGCCGATCAAAAAAAAAAAAATCGTCATCAATGATCATCATCATCAACATCAACAACAACAAAATGTGTATATATATGTATATATATTACCTTGGATCAGAAGATGTGAGAGGCCAGTGTTACAGTGTATATATATATAGTGAAGATCTGGATATGTACATCAATGATGTTGACATAGTTGAGAACCAGTGTATATATACAGTTGAGAACCAGTGGTGCGAAGAAATTTTCATCGCGGCTCGGATTTAGAAGAGGCTCTCTGTTGCCGATCTATTAGTGTCTCTAGACTTCTTCACAGAGAGTAGAGGGAGAAGAACAAGAGAGAGAGAGAGAAAAAGTGAGAGAGAGAGAGAGAGAGAAAAAGTGAGAGAGAGAGAGAGTTGAGAAGACTTAGAGAGAGAATGAGAACTTTAGTGACAGTGTATATATTAGATATTATCAATGATGTTGATAATAATAGATTAGATATTAGAGAGAGAATGATTAGATATATATATATTGGGGACTGATCGAGGGGCTTTCGGGGGCGGGGCCGGGCTAGGGCCGGGGTTGGGATACCTATCATCGTTCCCGGCCCGAAAATTATCAAGGATTTAATTTTTAATATCATCTCCGGCTTTATGGAGATAATTTTCGAAGAAAATCCGTTCTAAACAGGATCGAAGGGTCGAGTCTCCGTTGGATCGAGTTCAAATTGTCATCCCTAAAGATCACCCCCACTTGAGGGTCTCAAGTATTATCGAGGTCTCAAGTATTATTGTAAAAATAAATTGATCACATCGTACCATACTAACATCGCAATCGTACCATACTAACATCACAAGTCAATGTCTTTAAGATTCATAGCACAATTTTTTTACTGAGTTGGAAAAATCTTTTTTGAAATTTGAAACCACTTTTTTCAAGAACTTTGCAAAAGATAATTAACAACATTGTAAAGCTTTAGTCCACACCCACACCTTCAAACCCTAATCACAATCTATTCAACTGAAAGAATGAAACATTAATTGCATGCATACATTTATGGAATCCACTTTTTTTCTCATTCACATTAAAAATTAATTAATACTATTTTAACACAAAAATGAAGTCCAAATTTTTGTTTAGAGTGACCAATGTAAGTTTAGAGCACACGAAAAAAAATTCATTTTTGTTAGAAAATAATTTCTTATAGTTGTAAACTATCTAAATAAAGGAAAATCAATAAATCTATATTAGTTGGTAATACTTTTTTCATTTATTTAATGTTTGTGAGCTAAATAATTAATTTTAAGCATTTTATTGGTTGAAATAATTTATATAATTTATATATTTATAAAAAATAGAAAATATATTTTACATGTTGTATAAAAAAATTGGTGAAAGTATACATATTGATACAATTACGTAATCTATGAAGAAAAATAGAAGAAAATAAGGAGTTGTTAGAAAAATATTAGAAAACTTGGGGGGCATTCCTCACTAATTTGACACCATTAGCCAATTGTAAAAAAATATTTCCAAAAATATCTAAACAATCAACTTTTAAGAGAAATTCTATGAAATGATGAGTTCTAAAACATATTATTGAAAAAGTAGAAGGAATTTTGAGTCATACTACATAAATATTTGATAGCATCAAAACCCAACCAACTTGAGAAATTAATCATATATCCATTTTTTTTTTAGATTCATAATCATATATCCATTGATTCACGCTTATCATATTATAACTAATTAATGAATAGTTATCCCTATAACCATGCAAACATGAGATATACATTAGAAGAAAATGAGAGAAGATCTTAACTGATGAAAGGCATAAGGGTTTCTGTAAATGGATCCCCTGGGGATGAAACTCTCCACCGTATCATACGACATAAAGCTCCGTGATCGAACCGCTTTCTGTATCGCCGCTCGAGCCCTCGCCAAACCCTTTTCCAGTCTCCTAACACTGTTCTTCTTCTACACAATCAATCAATCAATCAATCAAATCAATCAATAATTAATGAAAAAAAAAAAAAACACAACACATGACTTTGCAGCACTTACTCTAGTTGTGATGCCATTAGAGAGATCATTGAGGGAGGTGCACTTTGGAGAGAGACAGACTCTGTGAGTGGAAAGATTGGTAGGAGGAGAAGAGAAAGCAGAGACATTCAAGTGATTGATGATGATAATGAAGTAGAGAGTGAGGAAGAGATATGGGTATTGAAACATGGGATTATGAGTGAAGCTAGCCATGGTTGACTAGTGTTTTTTTGGATATATGGTTGGAGGGTCTCCTGTTTCATAAGGCATTTGAATTTGAGATATTATGAGATTGTTTTTGAGGTGAGAAGAAGTTGGAGTCTTGTGTATAACTAAGAGATGCAAGCTGGCAAAATCTCTTCTTCCTTTTATTAAATCTTAGCTTTAGGAGTGTGGTTGTGTATTTAACCAGCCAGTAGTAGTATTTTGTGATTTTTTCAAATTATTTATAATTTTTTTTTTTTTTTTTGGGGACATGTAAAATTGCATCATCTGGCTAATTGACTACACCGTCCACATAGTATTTTAGATTAATTGATATTGTACCAAATTTTTATATAACCAACTTGTAATAAATTATTGAAGGTATATATATGTGTGACATACAATCTAATAATTAATTTTAATCTATTTCTTTTCAATATCATAATATAATCATATCATGGTATCATTTTATATTATAATATTATAATAACTTGGGAGCGAACGAAATTATTCTAGTAAAATTTAATTTTTTCGATTCCCGAGTTATGACAAAAAAAACTTGAGCCTTTTCTTTTATACAAACTAGTGAAAACTGTGCTACGCACTAGATGTGAGAAAATTAATAAAATATGTTTATATGCAATTCTGTACGAATAAAAAATAATCTTCTCGTATAATCTTGTTCATTAAGTTCGCGCTCCTCCAAACGTCGTCGCTTTACTCCCTGAAAACACAAACGTGAGCTAGCCGACGGGTGTGTGTCGGATACCTCTCCGATGCCTAAGTCAGCAAAATAGACAAATAGGCAAAGAGCTCTGTGTATTCGAGAATCAAAGTTCTGTTACCTCTCCAAAGGTGATATTGTGAGCTTTTATAGGTTCCGCATGGCACAATCCTTGTAGGACTCTTATTCCTCCATGCAGAGTCTTCTTAAGAATCACACTCCTGAAAGATAATGCTTATCCTTCAACACCCCCCTCACTGCTTAAACCAAGTGAGATGGTTTTACCTCGGTGATATGTTAAAACGACCGAGCTATCACAGCCATGCTATACTAGCTGAAATGACCGAGCTTTACCTAGCTCGGTTCTCCTCTTCACTGTGTGTACATCGGCTTCTCTTGCTAAGACTGTGCTAACCATAGCGTACTTGGACCGAGCTACTCAACAGCAAGGTCCTGAGTAGAAGCCAAAAATATCTCGGTTCAAGATGGTTTAACCAAGCTAATTGTCATCGCGCCGACCGTAGTGACCGAGCTAAGCACCAAGCTCTTTCGAACCGGGTTATCTGCAAGGCTTCTCTGGACCAGACTAATTACAAGGCCTTTTTACTCAGCCCTTCTTACTGTGGCCCACAGAAGGGCCCATTACCCAGCTCGGCCCAATTTACATATAAATTACCCTCTCAATTGCCCCTTAATTCCATCTGCGCAGCATAATAGGGATTATCTTTTACCAGTCGAGCTAAAAACTTCAGCTTTTCAACCGAGCTAAATCCATACCGAGCTTCCCAACTGTTCGGTCAAAACGCCTCTTCAATTGCTATAACTGTATCGCTTCCCATTCCCAGGACACGTGGCGAGCTGTCATTCGCCTGGCGTAACTGTCACGCCGTCTTCATACTTCGCAAAATTTAAACAGTCCCGCCCAAATTCGTTATTTTCACAAAAAACCCTACTCTTTGAACCATACGCACCACTATTCATCTTCTTCTCTCCCTACTTTCTGAAATTTCCTCAATACTGCTTCTGCAAAAACTCGTGTTTTGCTCCTGGTGCCATTTTCATCTCCAGTTCCTCCATTCTTGACTGGTATGTTTGCTCAAATCTGTTTCCTTTTTGTTGATTTTGCACCTGCTTTGCAATATACAGCATGCTCGTTTGTATGTTTTTCAAAATATATACCATGCTTGCTCATTTTTCTGTGAAAAACCATATAATAGAACTACTTGTACTCACGAATAATCTGAAGAACGATGTATTTGATCCAAAATCACACACCAATCGAACTAGGAAGTTGTTTGTATTAGGTGCGAACCCAACCAAACTAAACAACCGAACTAACACTTCATTTCATACTTGTAGTTTCAATAAGTCTAAATACCTTGTGCTTTATTGGCCAAGCTAGCGGACTACCTTAGGTTCGTGCAGTACTGTGCTAGAAAGTCTCAACCGCCAACCGAGCTACAACTAAGGCTAAACCAGCTCCCTTAGTCAAAACCGAACTAGGAATGCTGCTCCAATAGCTTTAACCGAGCTAAAGTTTCTCGCTTAAACCGAGCTAAGAACAATAGTATCCCACGTAGCCGAGTTAGGACTTTATTTATCTTTCGTTTGTTTCATTTAGCACGGTCCAACGATCTGTGCTTAACACCTTTCTTTTTTACTTTGCAGACTTTGACAAGGTTGCCCAGGCACTCCTTTTGAACGTTCGACTGAGATATCCAACATCTTCTCAGCGCCGAGCTAACACGTAGGCTAATTTATTCATAATTTAATAGCAAATGGGTAAATATAGGTTTTTAGTAAACTCATCAGGAGCCATGGCCGAGTTCCGAAGGGACTACCACATTCCTGATGATGTTCATCTTATCTTAGCCGACCTAGATACCATACCTTGGGGAAACCCTAGCTTCGTTCCTTTCACCCTCCTTTCTATTGTAGAAACAGGCCTAAGATTCCCCATACAACCCCTTCTTTGTGAATTCCTCAGACAAACAAACCTTTGCCCTACCCAACTTTTCACCAATTCTTATCACATAATAAACGGTATTGCCGAGCTAAATCGCCGGGCTGGCCTTAATCTCGGTCTAGCCGAGCTCTTCCACCAATACTCCATAGGATCGGCTGAAGATGGGTTTACTATTTAAAAATAAGACGCCGTCGCGAAAAGATAATAAAAAATACCCCGGATAATGTGAATGATGATGATTTCTTCTAGGTATCTGGGAACTTTGAGGACTAACAAGCCCAGATCCCGGGCGACAGAATAAATTGGAACAAGGGTGAAGTCGGTAGGATTACCTCGGCTCAATTCCATGTTTTTCTTTACTTTGGTTTTCTTATCTTGAACCGTACTAACTGTAGTCTCCTTCCTTCATGCAGATTTGAACTTCCTTAAGTCTCAGTACAGCTACCCAAATTTAAACGTACTTCGTACCGCACTCCAATATCCAAACAGAGGCTAGGCCGAGCTACTAAATTTTGAACCGACCTACCGATATAGTAGCCGCAGGAAGACCAGAGTGACCGATTTCCTCCTTGAACCTTCTCCAGAGCCAGATCCATCCTTGCCTCAAATCAATCTTATCTCACTAACTGCCGAACAAGAAAAGAGCAATTAGGGCCCTTCTAACCAAAACAAACCAGGCCGAGGTACCACCAGCAAGCCAACCTCAAGAGACCATGGTAGCCTTACCAACCGCTCAGCCTTCTTCATCTCGGCTAAACAAGCGCGCCCGGACTTCCACGACCAAGCCGCGCCTCCTTGATGAAGAAAACACCGTTCTCCCACAATCCAGTCCACCAAGCCTACAACCGGAGCGCTCAGACCGAGCTAGCTCCTCCAAGTGGGTGCCAAAGGTTACCTACAAGAACTGCGCTATCACTGACTCCGACTCAGTTATCGTGGAAAATGACCATATGCTGGCCTTTAATCTGGCCAAGAGTGTTTGTCTTCCAGCCGATATGGATCACCACGATCATCTTACCGAGCTGAAGGCCATTCACTCGGCTTTCAAATCAATGGTGTTGGTAAGTTCTCCTTTTTTTTCTCCAAATTTCAACATCTTTTTGCTCAATTTATCTCAAAATTTGTTTCTCTCCTTATGCAGGCCTTGTAGAAGAATCACGTTGCACACAAGCGCGTGTTGGAGCTTCAAAAGACCACGAGGGAGGCCGTGGCAGAGGCCAATGCTAAAACGGTCGAGCTAAAAGAGTCCCAGCAGAAGATGGCCGAGCTACAGGCCGAAGTAGCTCGGCATGCTGGCCTAGTCAATTTAGCTGAGGCTGACAAGAAGAAGGCTGCGGTCGTGGTGAAAGATAAATACTTGCGCGAGCTGGCCAAGCTTGAAGGCAAGAAGGATGCAGAGATAACCGAGCTAGAGAAGAAGGTTGAGGATGCGGAAGACCGAGGTTACAAGGAGAGGGAGGCCACTTACATCAAGCAATGCGAAGCTGCAAAAGATCTCTTCTTCAAATACGGATGGAAGATGGTTGTGGCACAACTCAGTCATGGTCCAGAGACCGAGGTCTTCAACCCTCCTCCGTATTTCATTCCAAGCTCTATGGCGGAGTACGCTGCCGCCATTCAGCAAAAATTTCTGAAAGACGATACCCAGCCCGGTCGCCAGTCTATCTCCCCAACTCCAATGGTCTTCATCCCACTTTTGCCTGTTGTGTCTGACGCGGTGCCTCCAACCGAGCTGAACCAAGAGGCGCTTGCAACAACCGAGCTACCTCTGGGTGAAGACCGGGTTATTTTGGACGCCGACCTAGATGACCTTTTCTTCTGATTATGTACTTTTCTTTTCTTTAGATGCTAACTTTAGAAGTTTTTGTAAACCAGGCTATAGCCCCACCTTTTGTACTTTGACTTTGCATTATCAATGAAATCATCCTTTGTTGTCCTCAACTGTCTGTTTGGTTTACTTCTATGATATAGAATGAAGTAAATTCTCTGGCCGAGATATTTTATCCCGGTCTTATCTTTGCAATCTGACTGGCCATACCTGCCAACCTCTTCAGCCTAAATCCTTATCTCGGCTGAAGAACAATAAGTGTTGGTTTTTCCAGCCAACCTCTTCAGCCTAGATCCTTATCTCAGCTGAAGAACAATAAGTGTTGGTTTTTTCAGCCAACCTCTTCAGCCGAGATTCTTATATCGATTGAAGAACAATAAGTGCTGGTTTTTCCAGCCAACCTCTTCAGCCTAGATCCTAATCTTAGTTGAAAAGAGCTCAAAGTTGGTTTTTCTTGCCAATTATGAGTGAAGTGTTTGGTTATTCCTGCCAAACGTCCTACAGCCTGGATCCTTATCCTGGGCTTAGGAGGGGTGTTAGTTTTTCCAGCCAACCTCTAAGTTGGTTATTCCTGCCAACCTAGAGTGAAGTGTTTGGTTATTCCTGCCAAACGTCCTACAGCCTGGATC